TGTTTGATGTTGTGTCTTTAAGAATGAGACCCAACGAGGCCCGGTGAAATGAATACGTAGGCAGTTAAAAACTCTATGTAGATGTTGGTTATCCAAGAATTAACATTTTAATCTATGAAATTTTTTAAGTAATACTAGAATAAAATATTGTGTATGGACTGAAGACCCGACAATCCACACACCAGTATTTCAACTTACTTAGTGGAGTAGGAATTTTATGAATGAGGAAATGCAAATGCTCGATGATATTACCTGGGTTGGAAATAACATTATTAAATGATTTGTGTGAAGGCTCTTGAACAATATTAACAATTATACATGAATAACAGATGAGAAATTAAAAGACAACCTTATTTAGCATCTTGAATATATTTGTGTTTATTGATTTGACACTACAGATTGAAGGAATGAGCTAACTAACTGCTGCACATAAGAATTGGGTTTTCTAGCTAAAATATTTTCTCTCTTGTCTGACAGAATTTTTTTCTCGGAAAATCTTTCTCGAGAAAATGACTAACTTTCGGGGAATGAAAATTATTATTATTTTTTTAATCTTTGGCTCTCGTTTTATTGCGCCAGGTAGTTGCTCAGAAATAATTAATTTTGTTTTCTTTCTTTCTTGTTTTTTAATCTCAATTATTCTGGAGAAAACCTAGACGTTCAAATTCCCCTGAGAAAAAAAATGTTATATATTGAAGGGTGAAAACATATTTCTGGGCTCTATTCTAATAATGCTGATTGATTTGAAGAGTTTTGAAAGAAAAATTTTCTGTGAGAACAGATGGAGCTGATAATGGAATTTGGTCATGTAATTTTCTTGACGATGTGATTCGTGTTTGGGTTTTTTGTTTTTGTTTTTGTTTTTTAACAAGGGAATCATTTAGGAAGAGAATAAGAAAAATTGCATGTTTCAATTTGTTGGATTTAATCTTTCCAGATTATTTGATGTATGACTTAAGCTTGAGCTTTCTTTTTAAAATTTGAAGTGTCCTTGCATGTATGGGTTTTATTATTTATACCGACACTCCTCAACTATTAGCGAATAACACTTTATTACTCTCATCTATGAATCTCTACATCTTGACTTCTCAACTATAAAAATATCACTTTCACCCCTGCAAACCCCCTCCAAAAGGGTATATTTGTACAATTTTCGTAATTGAGGGAGGGTCAATATGTATGGGTTTATAGATGAGGGGTAAAGCAGTATTCACTAATATTTGAGAGTCTTAGTGTAATTAACCCTATATTCTATTGTTTAAATGCATTCTTATGCTTTATTTCAAAAGAAAAAGTTTTTATTGGCAACAAATTGAAACTTTTTTAATATCTAACTAACAACCTTGCCTTCAAATCATCTGCAGGAAGTTTAGAGTGCATTTTAGTATACAGTTAATTACGCTGATGGATGCATGATCTATGTTCAGGTAAGATTACATTACAACTCTGTTCTGAATGTGAGCAATTCTGTGTTTTTCATGGCTGAAAAAATCAACATTTGCTTGATAAATATGCTATCCATGTGACTGCAGTTAATGTTGTGGGTGAAAATTGTTGTGATCATTAATGAGCTTTTTGGAAGCGGAGGTGGCTCGACTATTAGGCCACTTAGCCTATCGGCTGAAGCTCCTAACATTCTGTTTGGATTGAGGGGTTTGATAATATACGAAAAGAAATGAAGAGATGAAGATTTTCATTATTTGTTTGGATGATTAATGAGGTGAATAATGGTGAAAAATGGTAAGAAACACAAATCACACCAGACTTAAGAGCATTTCCAATGCACTAGGCATATAATACTTGTTAGTTAAAATGCCTAGTGTGATTTACTTTTTTTCAATTCCAATGCACTAGGCATATGATTAGGCATTTTGGTTCAACTCATATTCACTAGCTACATGTAGCTAGCCTTCAACGCTAGGCAAAATGTATTCAATCATATTCCATCCAAACAACAATATGAGAGATCAATCATTTCTTTTCTTTTCTCACCTAGTTGAGAAACTTTAATCATTTCTATTTCTTTTCTCATCTCTCGATCCAAACAGAGTGTAAATTTTTTTTTTAAAAAAATTTCTATTGTTGAACGTCTCAAGTTTTCAAAGACTCAGTGAGATAAGGCCTCATTTTGATATTTAACTTAAGGCCTCCCAGAACCTTGGGCTGCTACCAGTAGCACATCATTCATTTTGAAATAGAAGACACCTAGTTTAGTTATATAACTTAGGTGAATGTCATATTTAGGCATTAAAAATGAATTTAAGGTGTTTGATGTTGTGTCTTTAAGAATGAGACCCAACGAGGCCTGGTGAAATGAATACATAGGCAGTTAAAAACTCTATGTAGATGTTGGTTATCCAAGAATTAACATTTTAATCTATGAAATTTTTTAAGTAATACTAGAATAAAATATTGTGTATGGACTGAAGACCCGACAATCCACACACCAGTATTTCAACTTACTTAGTGGAGTAGGAATTTTATGAATGAGGAAATGCAAATGCTTGATGATATTACCTGGGTTGGAAATAACATTATTAAATGATTTGTGTGAAGGCTCTTGAACAATATTAACAATTATACATGAATAACAGATGAGAAATTAAAAGACAACCGTATTTAGCATCTTGAATATATTATTACAAGAAATCAAACAGGTTTTATATGGTTCAAGTAGAGGGAGCTAGAAGGACTAGAGTGGCGCTAGGACTACATTGGTCAAGGTTGTGCAGAAGTCATTCGATGGAATATAATTAGTAATGAAATCCATTCGATGAATCCCAAATTAGTTCTTCAAACTTAAACCAAGGAACATGATTTCATTCTTTTCCGTCGAAATGGCCGAAACATTTTCATTTCCTAGGAAATCGAAACAAAATGTTAAATGGAATACCGAAATTCCAATGTTTCCACCGGAACATACCACAATGCACCAAAATACTACGAAACATACCAAAACAAAGAGTTGTTTTTCGACACCTTTTAAAAGTATTTGACAATGCTCATTTTTATTTACCTATTTTTGTCAAAAGAAATTGTGATAAAGAAAAGTATTATATTTGTTAGGGAATATGAGAAACTAGATAGGAAAAAGGAGAGATAAAGAGGAGAAGATAAAACAAGCATGATTAAGTCACTTTTGTCATCTCTACTATTACTACTATTGTGCATTTTTTTTTTATTTATCAATTTTTTTCTTATAATTGCTTAACTTCTTTCCCAACTAAGCCTTTAATCCATTAGTTTATGAGCATCTAATATTCATAAATCTCAGCATGTTCGGTTGTTAAATTATTTAGAATATATTAACATTTATGAAAGTTTTAGGCTCCGTTTGATAAGCCTCTCAAATTATAGTTTCACCCATTGATTTGAGTGTGGTGTTTATTTTGAGCTTTCAAATCATAATTCTACACCCATTTCTCAAAACTCAATTCAAAACATGATCATTACTTATCAAAACTCATAACCAAACACATAATTCAAAACTCTTTTCAAAACTCAATTCAAATCAATATTTTAATTTTTTAAATATTTAAATATTTTAAAAATATTTTAATTTTGTTAAGATTTTAAATATTTTAATATTTAAATATGTTACGATTTTTTTAATTTTTTGAATATTTTTAAATATTTTAATTTTTAAATAGGGAAAATTAGTCTAGGGTCCCTCTCCCACTTTTCGTAATGGAAGAGATCCACAAAATTATTTTTTGATGTCTAAGGTCCTTCAACCCAAACTCATATATCACAGAGAAATTTAAGAAGTCTCACTCTTCTCACTATCTGCTCTCTTTCTCTCCTACGTCAACCCCAAACCCTAGCTTCTTCCTTCATCCTCGTGAGCAGCTATCAAACCTTGTTCTTGCTCAAACACGTCTAGACCCACGAACCGTGGTCTCGACAGAGCTGTGAACACAGTGGGAGTGCAGTGGTGGCAGAGAATGAGGACGAAGGAGGAGGAGGAGATGTGATGGAATCGGGGGATCAACGCTCTGAAGAAACTTCGACAGTGGTCAGAGATCGTCGCCTCGAAGCCGTGAGAGATACCACTCTCAGAAGCAATCAATTCCCAAGGTCTAGGCGGAAGCCATAGAACTTCCAGCTTCAAAAGATTCAACTGCAGAAGAAAGTGGTCCCGCATTGTCAGTTACAGAGGACTTGTGATTCACTAACACAGGTTGTTCAATGAAGCTATGTGCCCTAAATGAACGTGGTTCCTGAGAAGGCTTGGGTGCTGGTGGGAATTTTTTCATTTGCTGATAACCAATCAATCCACAATGGAAATTCCTACCAAGATTCAGCAGATAAATGCCTTAGGAATAAAATGCAAATAGAAATAAAAACAAAAATTCAAAAAAATTACTTAAAAACAATTAATTGAAAAAAAAAATTATTTTTTTGTTTGAGTATTTTAAAAATAGTTTGGTTATGACTGTTGATCAAAAATACGGATATCGAGTTTTGAGTTGTGTGTTTGATTATCAATTGTAGGTTGAATTAAGTTTTGAAAACTCATCACCAAACAAATTTTCTTATTTCACATGTCACATCAAACTTTCAAAACTCAATTCTACATACAATTCAAAACTTAATTCAACACTTTATTCAAAAACCATAACCAAACAATTTTTTTACACACAAATCATAATTCCGCAACTCACAAACTCAAAATACAACTCATACTCTCAAATCATATTTACAAAACTCTACCAAACGCAACCTTAGTTTTTGTTTCCAAACATTTTCAAAAAAAAATTCTACTTTCCATATGTTTCTAATACATTTCCGAAATATTTTTTGTTTTCATTTCCGGTGGACAGAAACAACATATTGAAACGAAATTTTGATCCTTGCTTGCAATGTGTTTCATCTATCTAAGCGATAGACATGTGCGTTGTGCGTTCCTCAAGTGTCTGAATTGTGTGCAATTGTAAAAAATAAAAATAATAGGACACTTCTAACACATTCTGTTGCTGGGGCTTTGAAGGAGGATTGCATATTTGATTGGTTGGCTCACTTCGCATTCCAGTTATAGCTATGCAAGGAGTGTCTTACGAGCGTTGGTGTCCAACATGGACACAACACCTTCTTAGAAGTATCCATGTTTTGTAGGATCAATCTATTTGAGCTAAAGAATGTGGTTGTCCTTAGGTGTGTATGGCTGTCAAATTTTAACTTCTTTTCCAACCTTTCCTCTTTTTTTTTTTTTTCTTTACAAGTATCCTTTATGTGTACCCTGGTCTTGCTTTGTCAATTGAAACTACGCTGTCAATGAATAACACATAGCATGTGTTGTTTCCTATATGTCCAGGTATTTGGTTGAATTATAATGCTGTTAGTCTTTCATATTTGCCAATAGCTATCATCTTGTGTGGAATGCATGAGCATCCTATTATCACTGATTTCATTAACATTGCATATCATTGATGCTTATAGGTTGACCATTTCATATTATCGGATGTATCATGGATATAAATTTTCTTTTTTAAACCTGGTCTTGCATGGAGCCAAACCTGAGATACGAAATTGATTTGAAGGCATAAGGTTCTTAGTTAAAAACCATGAGGAACACTTCAATTAACACAGCATGAACTGAAATAATTAAGTAATAAAACAAGAAAAGTAATTTTCCCAAATGGAGTTAAAGTTCCCTGTGTATAGGAGGGAGGTGATGGAAGCATAAGATGTAACCAAACACAAAATTTTGGTGTGAATTTTCCGTACAAGTCGGTGCATACACCATGTGCATGAATGGATGATGGTCACCCTGAGACATGAGATCTGATGTATCCCATTTAGAATTTGAGTTAATTATATTGTGGTATTTAACTCACAATTCTGTTCTTCTCATATGAAAACATTTTAGTGGCCCTTTTTGTAGAACCTGTTAAAAAGAGAGTTTTTCAAGCAATCCACTAAATGCATCAACAGGCACAAGTAAAAGCTATAGGATTGTGTTCCAATCAAAAGATTTTCAAAATAGGTATGCGTAGAAATTATCATAGTTGGTGACACATGCAAGGTGGTGACTTGGCAGATTCTTAAATGGGATTTACTTCTTTGTGCTATATTTTTTAATGTGATCATGTGATGATAAGTTGCAAATGTTTTCGATGCATTTGAGCTACTAATGTAATAGCTTTTTGGGCATTAGATAATAATGTTATATAGAACATTAGAACTTCAGAATATATACTGAAACCTCATTTGCCCCCTCTTTTTTTACTAATAATCTTTTTCATTTCTAATATGTTTCCGTTAATAACTTTGATGAAACCAGTGATGAACTACCAGTCACTTTCAAGAAAATGCATGAATTCTCCACAATTGATGGTTTTGTTGAAGTGACTGAATCCGTGGCGGAGATGGTTAAATATGTGGCTAATGAGCCCTCCGTGGGACTCGTCTACATCCAACAGCACACACAGAATGCAGTGCCGAACCTTATTAATCTCAAGAATAATGTCATGGAGAAGTCTCGAGACATGACTTTGCATACAGAAGATTTGGAGGATTCGATCACAATGTTGAGGTCTATGAGAGAGTGTGGCTTCCCTATTGCTGATGAGATGATCAAAGACATCAACAAATCTCTAGCTATTATGTCAACAAAACAACCAAAAAGAGGGATGATCCGTAGCCCAAGTTTAAGTTTTCAAATGGGAAGAACTAGTTCTTGGGGTCCAGTAACTTGGGGTCGTAATGCAGATGGTGAAATAAGTAGTAATTATTTGTCATCAGTTTTTAGGTCAGCAAAAGAACTTGCCAGCAATTTCAAGTGGCCTCAAGTTGATTCTAAAGAGTCAACACAAGCCAAGGGTGAGAAACTTATGTCATACCCTAATCCACCACTACCAGTTGAAGCTGCTAACACCACCACCGCCTCAACTCTGGCAGATGTAGAAGCCGATGAACTGCCCTTGTCAAGTCAGATTGATGATGAGCTAAAAGAAGAAGAATTCTCAGTTGATGGAAGTTTCTCTAATCATTAATTGGTTTCATTGTCTGAAAAATATGATGAGTTTAAGGCTGACAGAGAAGCAAAACTGGAGGAGTGGTTGGGAGGGACCGACAGCCAGGCTGATAGTAGGACTCTAGCTTGACAGCACTTGTAAACTTTGTTGTTGTGTTATTATTATGCTTATGTATCATCATTGCTTTTTCTCAGAACAGAAAATTCCTTATAAGATTCTTGTATTCGGGTTCTGGCAGAATTGCCGAAGAGAAATTTCTCATTGTTTTTCCTCGAGTGAATCTTAGCAACACTTTGCACTAACGATCTGATTTTCTTTTTCTTTTTGACTTGGTTTCTGGAAAGCTTATATCATTATGTAACCATGGTGGTAGAGCTATGTATTTACATAAATTATTTCACATTCTGCAGCACGGACCATTTCTCAATCTTTATTGAATGGTAGTTTCTAAAGGTGTGAAATTAAACACTATCTAGTTTCTAAAGCTGTGAAATTTCTCATTTTTATTTTGTGCTTGAAAAATCTTTATTGAAAGGTCGCAGAACTAACATTCACCGAGATTGGCCCACGGGTATGGAGAGTATTTTTCGGTTCCCTTTCCTTGCAGATGATCCCTAATCAGAATTATTTAGGGTGTGTTTGGTTTGTGTTTTGAGATAAATTTTCGAAAAAAAAATTTGGGGAGAGAGTTTAGAATTTTTTTTGGTTTGTTTGGTTGTATGTTTTGAAAATAATTTTGAAGTATGAGAGTTTGGAATGGTTTGATATTTTGTTATAGTTGAGTAGATGTGTGTGAAAAAAAATGATTGAGAAGGAGGGGTGATTGATAGGGAAAAAAAAGTGATTTTGGAAATTTTTTTTTCAAAAAATTTGAACCAAACAAAATTTTGAAAATGTTTCTCAAAAATTGTATTTTAAGATACAAACCAAACAAATCCTTAATCTTTAGAGTTGAATTTGGATGGATAATGCCAAAATTCGCCTGTGTGGTAATGGTTTCATTTTTAATGTTCCATTTTTCTCTTTTTGAAACAAAAATTATGAAAATTTTGAAATCATACATCCTTTTCATATCATGTTATTTTTGTGCAAGAACACAATATAGAAATTTAGGAAACAATGTACAAGTGTTTTTTAAAAGTAACTACATTTGGTTTGCTTTTCAGAAACAGTTTTTTAACTTTTTTTCAAAAAATAGAAACTAATTTGATAAAAATAGACACTAAAAAAAATAATTTTGAATTTTAAAAAATTATTTCTACATCCCAAAAGGATAAAACTATATGAAAATGATCAATATTTTTCGTTTTTTTCACCAAATTATGTTTTAAATTTTTAGAAATTTTCTTTAAAAAAGGTTCTGAAAACCAAACCAAACTAGTGTTTTGGGAAAATTTTCGAGTGAACAATTTTCTGAAATATTTTATCAAAGTTCATGTCAATTTTTGTTTTATTATTTTATTTTATTTTTTATTGTTTTGAGAATAGAAAAAAAAAAAAAAAAACAATACGAGACACGCATCAATTTGATTTAACAACTTAGATCACACAACAGATAAATAGCTAGCAAATAGCAAAAGATCCCATCAATAGTGAGACAACTGTGTAACTTATCCAACTCTATTGCGACGAAAGCGTTTTTGATTAATGAATTTGAGTAAGAATTTGAAAAGAGAAAGAAAAAATGTAGGTCTTTCAAATTCCTATCTAAATTCATAAATTAAACACAGCGTAAAAGTTCATTAAGAACAAAGCAAAGGTTTTTCACCCATTTATCACATTAAGGGCAAGAGCATGCAAGTTTTTCCCTGCAATTCCCTCAAGTGAGTGCACCATGAATGCTACACACTCCAAATAATTAACGTCACATACTTCCATTTGATAGGGGTATTTTCATCATTTTACACTCAAGTGACAAAAAAAGGTAACATTTTGGTGCTTTGACATTATAATTTCCCTATCACAAAAAATCCAACATTTTCAATTAAAAAACACAACCAACTGGTTACTTGTCTCACCTTATCAAGCCTTGCAAGTCTCCATCGCTACTTCAAGATTTAAAGCCCTTGTGGAGGTTTTATTTGGGTTTGGACTACTTTAGCCTAATCATTGTCTTTATGTTTTGTGTTGATTTTGGATTGGAAAATGCTATGGACCCCAAACAAATTACCAAATTTTCTATCAAACCTCTCACATGGGTGTAGGATCCACACAAATCAAATGTGTGTGGGTCCCACACCCATGTGAGAGATTTGGTAGAAAATTTAGTAATTTGCTTGGGGTCCCTAGCATAACTCTTTTGGATTTATAGAGAGAAAGAAAAAAGTAAATTAAACAAAAAAATATAAATTGTAATTCTTTACTTTTGTCCTTTCATTTTTCTTTTACCCTACAAATATCCAATATCTAAACATAACCTTGATTCATTATTACTATAGTTACAATGGGAATGTAACGACAAGCTTCACAAAATTCCCTTCTCAGTCATTCACATAACAATAAGCTACAAAGTGTTGATCCAAAAACAAAAAAAAAAAAAAAAACCCTTCATTTACCATTCTTCTTCTTTACTAGTCAATAGGCATGGAAGCATATTTTGTTCAATTGGTAACCAATCTCTCATTTCTCCTCGCATCGACATTGGCTTTTGCTGCTTCATATTGTCTTGGATGTCATTATATAGATATAATTTTCCTTTTTAAATTGCTTTACTGTGGTGGCTGTGGTTCTGGTAATTTTTAATTATAGGAGGCCTGAATGTGGAAGGGGAGGCAGACAACTGGGATTTTGGTGTAGGTATGTACTATGCAACAGTGCGTATGATTGGCCATCATGTGTTGGGTTTGATCCCAGTAAAATTTTGAATAAGTTATTGTGTTAGTAATTTAAGACCCATGAGAGGTTCATCACATGTTTGACTTGTGATCACATCCACACCGCCCCCACTTTGATGCAAGAGAAAACAACAATTATTTTGTTTACTTACTAAATAAGGTGTTACAATCTTGCTATTGTTGCATGCATATCTTTTTATAAATCCTCAAGTTTATGGAAATGTTGCTTTCTATCTTACTCCCTCCATCCCAAATTGTTTGTCTATTTTTGGCATTTGAGCCCTTTAATCGGGTCAATAACTAATATTTTTTTAAATAAATTTAAATTTAATTTATTTACCAAACAAGTTCATCTCTAGCAAATTCCAATAAATTAGATACGACTGGAGCTTTGTTGAGTTGGTTTATATTATGACCCTTGAAAATATTTGTGATGTGGTCCATTTCGTGAGTAGATCAATTTCCAATTTTGTCATACAGATCTTCCAAAATTTTCATATTATCTATATTTCTCATAAAATATTTTAAGAAAATAGCAATTCAGGCATAAATTTGATGGGGGGGGGGGGGAAATTGAGATCAATGACAAACTTTAATAATTAAAGTTATAATTTTTTTTTATGAATCTGTAATTAATTTGAGAAAGTATATTGATTTGTAATTTTTCAAATATTTCGAAGTTGTGCTTCCTCCAAGGTCTTAGGTTCGAAACCTTCTAGACGCACATAATTTTTTGACGTCAATCTATATGAGGCTTTGTTTCTATTTTAATTGGGTTTCACCTATTTTTTCATCTCTCTGTCTCTCTGTCTCTCTCTCTTTCGCTCGTCTCTCTTCTCTTTCTCTTTCTCTCTCTCACTCATCACTCTTTGTCTTTCTGTGTGTGTGTGTGTCTCTCTCTCTGTCCCACACTGTGCTCTCCCCCTCTTCTTAATTTACCGATCTCCCTCTCGATTTATCTTTTTTTTTTCTCTCTCTTTCTCTCTCTTCTTTCAATCGCTCATCTCTCATTTCTCTTAATCACTTGTCGAAAGAGAAAAAAGTCAAAAAATGAAATGGGCCTCTCTCTCTCTCGCTCATCTCTCTTCTCTCTCTTTTAATCTCTCATCTCTCTCTTTATCTCTCATCTTTTTCTCTCATTATTTCTATGTCTCTCTCTGTCTCTTGTTCATCTCTTTTTGTTGCCTTTCTCTCTCTCTCTCTCTCTCTTTGTGTGATATCCCTGTTCCGTAGTATGCTAATTGGTCCTTAATATGAATATGATTATGTGTCTGATATGATTTTGTGTGCCATTATGTGAAGATGTGTGGTTTTGAATTTCTATCTGTTCGCCGTAGGAATACTGTCGCAACCCAAACCCGCTCCTATGGGTTTAGCACCGTAACCAGCTAGTAATCCGCGATTACCAAAGGCCTGCTTAACAGTAGAGACGGTAATACAGAGTAAGGGGCTGGCGGAAGCCAAAACAGTAAATAAAAGGTGTCCAATGAGCTGTGACATTCTGAATGTAAAAAGACTTTCCTGAACATATTCACATTCAAAACCAAAACAGTATATACATACATCATATACAGACATTCAGGTTAGGGACCGAATCCCTAACATAACAGTACAGTGCAAGTCTCAACATTTATTACAGAACAGAGGCAAAAAGGGAAATCTAAAACACCCCAAACCAGCCCTGGGCTTTGACGCACTCGGAACCTCAAAGTGAGGCACAATGGTTGGCTTTGACAAAACGAGAGCTTAGTCTGACGCTCCTAGCATCGGTCCAATGCCTGGACACCTACATATATATATATATATATATAAATAGTGAGCTAAAGCCCAGTAAATAACAGTTATGTAAAGGGGTTAAGAATGAATGTCATTTCAGTAATTAACCAGTCATATCAGTCGTTTAGAAACCATAGCAGTCATATGTGGTACATCCCATAGCAAAACAGTACAGTAGGTCTTAACAGACCGAACAGTCAGTTGATGGCCATCATAACAGTAACAGTAGTGGTTCCAAACTTGGGAACCGAAAGAGATCTCTGTGACAGTAGCAGTAACAGTATAGTAACAGTAAGTTGCTAAGGATGCCACGAATACAGTTTACAAATAGGACAAACATTCGTTCATTAAACAATAATGTTTCAGTAAACAGAACAGTTGATCATTCAAAAAATATTCATAATTGAACATATTTTTACAACATTGTTACTCACAGAACACTAGGCTATAAGCAGCTAATGAGCGTCCTCGGATGCCAATCCTATACAGTTACAGAATGAACACACACTAAGTTACACACTCAGGAATCAACAACTTAGTTCCTATCTTGACTCGGTGTGGTTCTACATCAATATCCTCATTAAGATGCCTTAAACATGGCCTAGGATGGAAAGAGGATGCAAAGATGCACTTTAAAACAATTTTCAAAATTTTCAGAAAATAGGGGTCTCGCTCGAGCGTGGCTTTCTACGCTCGAGCAGACATGCAGACAAAGGATCTTCGCTCGAGCATGACTTCCTTCGCTCGAGCGGACTGTAAACTTCATGAAAAGTACCGGATGCATGCAATTCACGCTCGA